ATGACAATTAATGAGATAAACTACTAAATGAATAAATATTTCCATCATTTTTTTACGCCCCAAAAATATCCTTTTCAATTTTTTAAAAATTCCCTCACGAAATTTAATCGAAAAATTGAATGAATTACAATATGGTCAGTATGAAATTGTAGATGAGACTTGAATCTCTTAAAAGCAAAAATCCCCTCAATTTGATAGAGATCATCTATTTCCGTGCGCTCTCGTCCCTTAGTCGTTCATTCGGACTCTTTTCCTCTCAAATTCGTAATTAACGATCCATATCCAAAATATTTCCAGAAATCGGTTCAATAAGAAAAAAAAAATGACAATTAATGAGATAAACTACTAAATGAATAAATATTTCCATCATTTTTTTACGCCCCAAAAATATCCTTTTCAATTTTTTAAAAATTCCCTCACGAAATTTAATCGAAAAATTGAATGAATTACAATATGGTCAGTATGAAATTGTAGATGAGACTTGAATCTCTTAAAAGCAAAAATCCCCTCAATTTGATAGAGATCATCTATTTCCGTGCGCTCTCGTCCCTTAGTCGTCCATTCGGACTCTTTTCCTCTCAAATTCGTAATTAACGATCCATATCCAAAATATTTCCAAAAATCGGTTCAATAAGAAACAAAATATGACAATTAATGAGATAAACTACTAAATGAATAAATATTTCCATCATTTCTTTACATCCCAAAATATCCTTTTCCACTTCTTTCAAATTTTCTCTGAAAATTTAATAAAAACATCGAATAAATTACAATATCGTCAGTATGAAATTGTAGATGAGACTTGAATTTCCTCAAAGCAAAAACCCCCTAAAATTTATAAAGAGAGCATCTATTTCCGTGCGCTCTCGTCCCGTCTATTATTCGGACCTCCCGCCTCGCCATTCGTGTTTACATCCCTCGCCCAACAGGCAACATAACCTCGTCGGTTTGAAAACAGTCCCTTCGCTGTGTTTACCGCATCGCTCCTCGTCCCGAGGAAGAAAAAAAATTAGGCAATCGCAAGGGTCAACAATTGACACCTGAAAAGTGTTGCGTTCTGCGTGTTCTCGCGTAATTGTAGTTGATCTAGCGTAAGTTAAAAAATCGGAATTCATGTTCTCGTCAGCATGACTGCAACAAAACCGCTCGATATGCCTCTGCCTTTGGTGCTGAAGCAAGAGAAGGAGGAGAACCCGAGTGAGGATGAGGCTGAGGAGGACAACGAGGAAATGGACAGTGACAGTGTCTCGTCGTTGCCCCAGCCCTCGATCCTCAACAGGGGTTCCCTCAACGACGTCGACCCCAGGAACGAGTTCCTCCGGCTGACTTCAATGGTAGCTATTCCACTCTAGTTTATTTGCTCCCTCGATTATCGTTTTTACTCTTCATTTGAGAATTCCTGGAGTTTTGTTCACGAGATATCGTAGACATTACTATAAATATTACGGACATGTCATCTTTTTATTGTTATTTCTGGAAATAAGCATGAGCTCCTGGCACTCGTCAGCAATGTTTTGATATTTGGAACAGTCATTCGAAAAATGCTCAGTAGCAAAAGTTTTTATTTAATTAGATTCATTCATTATTTGTGAATTCCTGAAGTTCTGTTCACGAGATATTATGGACATTACTATGAATATTCGAGGAATATTACGAATAGGGGAGGGTGGGGTAAAATGGACACTTTAGACTTTTTAAAAATTATTTATAACTCAGAAACAAATTTATCAATTGAGCTCAGTTTAGGCTCGTCACAAAGGGAAAGAGTTGTTCTTTGTATTGAAAAAAAAAAAGATTAAATTTTGTCAACATTTCAACCCCCATTAACATTTTAAAAAAAGTCAAAACTTTCCGTTTTACCCCAGCCTCCCCTATGTCTTTCTATTGAGCTGTAATCACAACTGCCCAAGGTAGTTTAAATGATGAAGCTCAACCCAACGGAATAATTGTGGACGAGAAATACAATTTAGTGGATTTTTGGGAGTTTAAAGCTCGAACAATCGTATGCGCAAATTTTTTTCACCTGCGAATGAGTTTGCTGACGACTTAAAAATGTTTCGATACCCCTAGATTCCCCCAAATCGAATCTTTCGTCAGTTTCAGCTTCATTTTCAAGTATTCGTTGAAATTCTACCAACGCTCACTCTCGAATTCCCCTCCGCGTTACCCTCTCACCTCCATCAACCACTGGATACCCCATGCCTATCGATAATCACTCGTCCATCCCCCCAATAACACGAGCAATCTCCCCAGGTTCGTCGGGTCTACTTCTCGTATCTCAACAAATCCATAATCAACAATTACAACGTCTGCTGTAAAACCTCAGAAGCGCGAGACATCTCTCGGGTGGACCTGAAAAAATTCGCTAGTCAAATGGAGCTCCAGGCAGTGCGTGCCTCCCTCGAGGCCTCACTGTACCGTCAAGCAATGCTGAAGATAATATCCGAGGTGAAGACCAGCACTTCGCGGCAAAAAATCCACAAAAAATTATCCATCTTCCTGCAGACCCCGCCATCCACCGTCGACGCAGCAGTGCAAACGATCGAGGACACTCTCCCCGAGGCCAAAGTGTTTCCCCCAGTTGAGGACGAACAGCCCAATGAAAGGCCTAAAGTGGAGACTGGGGAAGTTAAATCCCTCGACGAAAGACTGACGAGGCTTTTTTCCGCCCCAGAAGAACCCCCAGTGAATCCTGCGGATGGCCAGGGGCCTGCCCAGAGGGATCAGGAGGGCGCGGACGAGGCACCTGTGAAGGTCGAACCAATGGAGATCACCAAAGTCGAAGTGCAAGACGCTGAGGCAATTGCGACTGACGACAAAGGCCCTGGGGAGGGATTAAACAGCCTCGACGCCAGTGTCAATGGACCGATCGAGGAAGACCAGACGTCGCAGGACTCCCTGATGCAGCACCTGGAGGACATGTTCTGCGAGAGTGACGACAGCAGTGACCTGACGACTCTGATCGAGCGCCACTCAGGCGTCACCAAGACGAATATCGATAAGGAGATCATGAAGATGTGCCCAGGAGGCGCTTCACCTGTGAAAACTCCAAGTGCCAAGTCTGTCTCAAAAACCCCGGACTCGTCACTGGCAACTCCTCCAGCGTCTCTCCCCCAGGAGACACCGTTGTCGAGTTCCAAGCGCAAGCTGTCGTTCTACTCGTACAAAAATAAGAGGAGAGCTGTGGACGGGGGGGAGGAGCTCCAGGAGGACAAGGAGACGAAGAAGATGCGGGGAATCTGGCTGGTGGAGAGGATCCACCAGGTGTCGAAACTCAGGACGAAGATGACGGAGTTGTCGGTGAGAAATTACAGGAAACATGGCAGGATTAGGAGCAAATTTGCGGAGCTCTTTGGGGATGACGATGGCGAGGATTTGGCGCCGGATTCGCCGATTCGTATCGAGGACCATTTGACTTCCTGCAAGGAGAGGATAGCACCCTGGGTTGTCAAGTATCTCATGCCCTTTTATTCGAGGAAAAAAGTTATTAAGGATCGACTGCTGTTCAAGGCGGTTGCTAAGCATATTAGTGATGGGCTTATCATCGAGAATACATTTCCTGGTGAGTGACAATAGTATTCCACTTGATTGATTGAGGGCGATTGAATCCAGTGATGACGGTGATAAATCGGGAGATGATGAATTAAATTAGGGCATTTTTCTGGGAGGGAAAAAGTTCATTTCACTGAATCAGTTGCCTTCGGGGAAAATTGAGTAATTTGTTAACGTTATTTTCTTTATTTTCAGAAGAGGAGTATGTGAATCAATACATAAAAGACTACTTCCGGAATAAGCCTAGTATTAAGTCACAGGCTGACATATACCTCTGAATATGTCCATCACTCTCTCCCTTTTTTTGTGATAAACCTCGAAATTGCAGGACGTAAGCAATACTCATGTCATCTTCTCATTTCACACATTTTAGTTTTAATGAGTCAACCATGATTATAACTGACGAAAATGTATCTACTGTAAATTACGGTTGGACCCAGTTGAAATGGGCTACACCCAGAACGAAAGCAGAACAAAATAGAAATAAAACGTAAGATCATGTTTTTTTTTTAATGTTCGTTTAATTCTTGCACATTATAATCTCGACTAGACCCAGATCTTAGAATTAACAAATAGAGAATATAAATTTAATCGTCAGATGTGCTGTCAACAATGTCGCATGCCAATGACAAAACGAAAAACAAAGAAAATCATGGCACATCTCTCGCACAGAGTACAGCTCCTCCACCTCTCTCGTTTGAAATTTTTATTCCACAAAAATTAGGAAATAAATAATTTTAGAAACTGTAAATAGATTATCACATTATTGATAAATCCAGAATCGCACAGCGACTGTTACAATTTTTCCACTATTGTAATCATTGGAGATCCATCATCAGGATAACTCGGCATTAATCCCTACATTAATTTCTAATTGAATTTAATCAGCATATATTGAAAGAAATATCGAATAACTTTATTTTTCCTCAATGCATTTGAAATTACAGTGCACATGTGCCTAATAAGCATTTCGATATTAATTTGGATTAGTAACAACGAGTGCAGTAATTCTGGCTCTACAAAGTGTCATTTTTTTAAATCGTGATTGCCCAAGGTGTTTCAAGTGTTCGTTGAAATACTATTAATTCACAGTTTCGAATTACCTCTCCACGTTACCCTGATATCTTCGACATCATTGGCTCATCTAATCGATATATTTAATAAATAATTGTCACCCAGATATCCATCGCTATAATCTCTCTGCTCCTCACAAATATTAGTAATCACACGATTGAATGGAATTCGTTCAGCTTAAAAATTGTTAGAAATGATAGATATCGACTTATCATTCGTATTCGTCAGGTGCCTTAAACCAAATGGTATTTTTCGCTTTGATTAGTCTAATGGGAATCTTTCTGACAATCACTTAGTTACACAGCTAATTACTCTTTACCCTTGACAAACGTAAATACACACAGATCCTTGGGGATCGCCATTCTCTGCAGAAGTTAAAAAATACCGGAATTGATTCTATTGGAATTGAACTTCGCTGGACTGAAGGGGAGACGAAAATTAACATAGAAAAATTATGATTAAAAAACAATGCGAAAGGATATCTTTCAACAACTAAACTCTGCAGTAGAACTAATTCACTTATTCAACAAATAATATTTAACACTGATTTCTCCTTGCTGCCTCTCGGATTACATTCTATTTACACTGTTCGAGAACTAATGACGACATACCCTGACACGTAATTGGTAGGAGTTGAATAAACACGGACAGAAAGGCAGATTATCGAATATACATCACCAGTTATTACACTCATATCCAGCAATTCGACTCCACGTTTATCATTCAAATTCGCTATCGAGAACCCCAACTGTTCCTTGTTCATTAAGGAATCTCCATTATATTTTATTTAGGTTTACGCAGTCGTAAATTATGCCATCGGTGATCTGAAAGCAATTTAATTCGAGAATTAATGGGGAATCTGCGAATTGGTGAATTAACGCGGGGATTTAGTGGTGGAGTGGTAGGAGGAGATTATTTAACTTTGACGTCTTTATTGGACATTATCAATACATAAAACATTTTTATTTAGAAAATCTAAAGTTTTTTGCTGTTTTTTGACTCCATCCTTCAATTTTATGAAAAGAATGGGATATTATTAGCCTTCATGACCGAAAATTTTTCAAGCTTCTGTTCTCCACCACAATTAAGCATAAATTCGCCATAAAATTCCCAGTTATTCTCCTTCTATCCTCCACTTCCCCGTTCAAATAAAAATAGTTACCAAGTCTCTTTGATCTCCAAATTATTACGATTCCACATCTTGAAAATATATTGCACGAAGAACACCACGACAATGACAATGACAGTATCCATAAAATTCTTCATCATATTGGCATTGTAACTCGATTCTTTCTGGCCTCTCTGTCTGATGACCAATTGCTCCAGTGTTCGTTGGATTCTGTTCAGCTGTTCCCCCTGCTGCAGCATTCGGCTCTCCACTTCCTTGATGGAGTGCATCAGCCTGAAAATAACGCGATCAAAAACAGAATTCTCCGCACAATGATCATCATAATTACCTGGCGTTAGACCTCCGCCTCTTCCCAATCGACTGACTCGAGTCCGAATGAACATCCGCCGACGAACTTCCCGAGTCATGCGCTGTCTCCGTCAGTGGCAAATTACTCGACAATTGTCTCTTCGATGACTTCAATACTGACAGAGACGATCGCGATTCAGCCTGTAATAACGGCATCTGAAATCATTAGACGTTCCCCCACGATTTAAAACACCGGATTCTTTATTAATCATAAAAAACACTATTTCTCACGTGCTTAGTCCAAAACTCGTGATACTATTCCAAAATTAATCATGTGCGATAGTACATAAATAAAATAGTATTCATTTATTGAAATTGATATTGAATAAATTTAAAGTTAAGCTGTAGCAACGAATAAAAATTTAATTCTATCATTTCAGTCTTGATTCAATGATGGATAACATCAAAAAATTGCACTCAGTCATTCACAAAATTTTTAACAAATCGTAATCATAAATGAAAGATTGCGATATTCTATTGATTTTTTTTTCACTGGAAAAACTCGTTAAAAAATATTACTGACATTAACGACATCAGAAATCATCGGACGTCCCTCTACGGCTTGAAAACCCGGATTCTTTATTAATCATAGAAAATACTATTTCTCATGTGTGATGTTACATAAATGAAATAGTATTCATTTATTAAAATAAATATTGAATAAATTAAAAATTCAACCTTAATAATAAATAAAATTGTATTCATCCATTCAAAAAATATTGAACAATTCGCAACAATAATTGAAAACTTGCACTATTCTATTCAGTTTTCTTCCACTTGAGAAAATCACTAAAAAAAATTTCTGGCAATAACGACATCTGAAATCATTAGCCGTCCTTCAACGATTTGAAACACTGGACTCTTTATTAATCATGATAAAAAATCGTGATTAAAACATGCAAAATCCTTGCGATATTACATAAACAAAATAGTATTCATTTATTGAAAAAATGTTGAACAAATCGTAATAGTAAATAAAAGAATGCAATATTCTATCTAGTCCTCTTCCACTTGAAAAAATCACCAAAAACAGCTCTATGAATTTTATTCTCTCTTTAGTCTTCTCGTTAATTCACGAAGTTTACTCAGTAGACTCATATTCAGACTCTGACATTGTCTCTCTTGTACCTGTGTCTGTGGATCCACCGATACGATACTCCCAGTTCTCATGATAGGCGTCTTGTGGCGTGTCTTAGTACGAACAATGTAATCGTGCTCGAATTGCACGACATCGTTTCTGGGATCCCAGGGGCGTATGTCAGCGTGTCTGTACACCCAATTGCCAGTGATAATGTCCTATCGAGGAGAATGATTATTTGTTATCTTGAGCCGATGAGTAGCGGAGATAGGGAGAGCAAAGATAAACATTAATATTAGATTCTAGGAGAAAACTCAAACCAGTGGGAGATTGATAAATTATCGATTCACTTCCGAATGGAATTTCGAGGACGATATATATATCGATATATATATATATATATTTTGATAAGCATTTTAAACCGTAGTCTATGCTACAGATATTTTAATTTTGATTCAACGATTCCTTCGTAGCCGGCATTGCCCCAACATTAAAATTTCTTAGATTTCCCTGAATATTGATTTCTAAATAAATTTTTTGAAAAACAGATGATGCAATCACTCTCATGATCGAGCTCGCTCAAGATGGCATGGGAATGAATGTTTTAAACCACAATTGGATACATTTGAAGAATTATTTTTTCGGTTATCCTCACGCAGAAAATTTTAAATTTCGTATTTAACGAATACAATGTTTCCATTCGGAAGCGTAATTTTGTTGTAACAAGGGGGGGAGTGGACTTGAATGTATTAAATGCAATTGCAGTTAAATTACATTGAAATAAATAATTAACTTGAATGTAATCATTTATTTACCTGGACAAAATATTTTGGTATCCACTCCTGGTTGTTCTGCTTTCTGTCTTTGGCTCGTTCCCTCTGGGCCTCCTCGAGGGCTGTTTTGGCGTCGGTTGCTGCGATCTGATCGTCATTGTTTATCGCTATGGTCACGGCTTGCCAGAGACGCTGGCTCTCCCAGTCGCCCTGATGCTCCAGGGGAACTGTGTACTTCTTCAAACGCTTGCGACGCACTTCGGGGAGGGGATTGAAGAAGACACTCTCCTGACCTGTTCTTTTGTCGGTTATCAGTATCTGGCCGTCCCAGTAACCGGATATTGTTGCTAGGGTCTCTTTCACCAGACGAATTCGACCTACCACCTGATTCATTTGCTCAGCACCACCCAGGAAGGGCTGGGAGAATGAAAATAAAAAAATTAATGCTTCATTAATATCCAGTAATGTTCAGTAACAATCAAATAATTCAGTAATACAGAAAACACAAGATCTCAAACAAGCCTCGTCTGGGCCAGCAAAATCGCTAGTTGAAAATTACAAAAAAGAATTCTTCAATTCCATTTTCAGGATATTTTGTCCCTAAGTTACATGATTCACGTCATTATTGTAATTTCATTTAAGGATTGATTTATAGTCTGTGATTATTGAATAACCGAAATGAAAAGCTACTCTTGTTTCGCATAAAACTACATATGGGAGTATCGAATAGCGAAGAAGTACTAAATCTATTTTTGCAACAAAAATTTTTCATTTTACCGCCATATTAGCATGTTTAGGACAAAAAATTATTATTTTTCGGCACAAGTACGACTTGTTTGAGAATTCAGTCTTTTTTCTCTCTCATCCATTGAATTACCTTCAATTTAAATTCAAGCTCAGTATGATAACCAGTTTTTTCACATATGATGTTGACTTTGCCACCGAGCTCCATGGACAAGGTACCCATGACAATTCCCTTGCAGTGAGCATAGGGAATAGTCATAGTGTAATCCTCACCGCGTGGAAGCATCGTTAGCACAGCAGCACCATCGAGCACAGCAGACGTTGAATTGCCATAGAATTTAGACTTGGCTATTATCGTTGAGCTTATTGTGAAGCCGTCCTGGCGATTTGTCACGTAGAAACTCGAAATGGGCGGATGGTGTGATATCTGGATGATTAAATTGTCAGTAAATTGTTGGAGTTACTCGTGGAACATTGTCGATTCATCTCGACTTGCAATTTTACCTGCTCAGCCAAGTAGAATGTACGCGAGCCATTTGGATGTTGCCAGTAGCAACGAAATGTCTCACCCAGAAGTGGATTGTAGGGTTTTTTTAATCCCTGTGGCTTTTTATAGAAACCAGAGAGGTACCACTTAACCACTCCTTTCATTCGCGTAAATGCATCGTCCTCGAGCACGGCTCTGGAATTTTTTTAATGATGAAATTTAGGGGTGAAGCGATGAAACTAGATAACTTCTGACATTTCTCGACATTTCAACGGAATTATTGTCACAGTGACCTTTCGAAAAAATTGTTCCATCTTGCATTTGAAAATTTTAATTAAAAACCTCAAGTCTAATTTCATTTAGAGACCTGTTTTTATGAATATCTCAAAACATGAGAGAAATGGTGTAATTTACATGAGAATGTGATAAAAACTCTCATTGACAGTTTCATTTTCAGTTTTCATTACGCTCTGTCAAGGTCTTTAAATTTATTCTCTTATTCCCCCGCATTTCGTCACATCCCTCAACCTGAACCTGAGTTAAAGTCTTGCATAGCAACGTGCATTCAAAGATATTGGTAATAAAAACTTTGCCTCAATTTTAATTCCATTTTGAAATCATTTTTTGACGTGGATACGTCTGTTTTCATTGTGGGAGGGCATTTAGGGAAAAAGTCCAGATCCGATCAATTAGCCCCTCATGTATAGATATTCCAAATTTTTATTTTTTTCCTCATTGAAGGAGTTTTGAAGAAAATTGCGAGCTTCAATTGAAAGCCCGAGTTGAAGACCCGCTCTTTCATTTGAGCCCCAAACAACATTCATATCTTGTCTGACATCTCTGCTACAAACTCTGGTCATCAACTCTGGTTTTCAGTTGAAATTGGAATTGTTAATTTACACAATAATAGGAGTGCATTGACAATTTTTTCTTAACTCGCAAAAATCTTCAAACAATTTGCTACCGATTGGTGATAAAATTTTTTGGAAATAATGACATAGGGGGGATAACGCCTTTTTTTTCAGGGGTGATTTTTCAAAAATTTATTTTAAAAAAAGTACTAACTAGCAAATGTTTTTTATTAGCTCGCAATTTTCTTCAAAACTACTTCAATGAGGAAAAAAAAAATTGGAATATCTATACATGAGGGGCTAATTGATCGGATCTAAAAGTCCTTATGGTTCCTTATCGATAGTGGCGCCATCGATCGGAATTCCAGAACATTCTGGAATTCTCTACAAAATTCTAGATTTTTCTAGCAAATTCCAGATTTTTCAAGAAAATTCCCGTGTTTTTTTTTTAGAAATAAATTACAATTTTAAGACAGTTGGTTATTATTGCACGAAATAGATAAAATTTGTAATGATTTCGTTGTGAATGAAATATGTTGATCGTTTGTTTAGCGATTTTGGTTGTACATAACAATTCAATCGTATCGTGATTATAAAAACCGTCTTATCTAATTCTTCTGATATACCTACATAAACATATGCAATGAAAAACTATGATGTTCAGTGAAGGAAAGGGAAGGCCACAGACGTAACGCCGCAGATTTTTTTTTAAAATAAATGTTGATGAGAGCCTGACAGATATCATCATCCTCTTCAAAAAGCAATTCCCCACAGCCATTCCCAACCACCTATTAATCCCCCCAATGATGTCACTTTCGCGTAAAGTTGACCCCTCCTAATACATACTGAGATAGGAGATCCGCATGATAGTAAGAATCCGCCAGTTTCTCCAGAAAGGACCGTGGCTCGAGAATGAAGGTAGGTAGTACCACCTTGGACAGATCCATGCCAGGACGTACTTGCTTAAGCAGAAACCAAATGAGCGATTTCTGCTCGTCTTGCAGCTCCGCGACAACTTCTCCCGCCTGGAAAATACCGACAATGAGAACCACCAACTTCTCATGAAAAAAAGAAAAGGCCAATCTGAATGAACGAGTCACGACGCATGAATAACAAACGTTATTTACCGTTCCAAGGAATTCATTCTCATTAGCAACATATGGTGTCTCGCAGATGGCCTCCTCCTCGTCCTTGACAGAGGCCTCGGACTCGCTGTCACTGGCGCTAATCTCCGCATCAGCGACAACACCATTCTCCGGCTGGCTGATGTCGTCCAGGTCTGTGTTATGGGTATCAAGAGGATCTAGCGTTACTACTCGATGGGTATCACACTCTAGGACATGGACAGAGGGAATTGTCATGCGTCTCGCTGGGGACATTAGTGAATACGCGGGTGATAGTGATTGTGATATATTATTACTGGGTGATGAATTAGCGGAACGTCTTCTGCCTATTTCCTCGTCTAAACTACCACCGTAAGTGCAATTATCAATGGTCGGAGTTGGTGACTTGCCGAACAAATGTGTCTCCCAGTAGGCAACTGCGTGACAAAGCTGCTGGAACATTGGCATTGGGGAGGATATTCGGCTGCTGTTTGATAAACCAGGTGACAGGGTTTGTGGACATGATAGCAAGCGTCTTTGGGGTGTCGTTGGGGTGCGGGGAGCGTAACGGGCCAAATTCAGTGCTGGTGGATCGAGGCGAGGCTCTGGTTTATCATTTTTTTACGGGTCATTGGGTAGCCCGGAGAGCAGGCAAATTCAGCACAATCAAAATTAATTAGTCCAGGTTTTTATCTTTAGTCATTTAAGAAATAGAATGTCATTAACATGATAGCAACTTTATGAGTGATGACAGCTGACTACTGATCGTCTTTTCTATAGATTTTTCTTTCTTTTTTTTCGCTTTGTTCTGATGGGAAAATTTATTTCAGGGTTAAAAAATGAGGCTTTTATGAGATGAGAAAACTAAATGAAATTTGAGAAATGAGATGTAGTTGTTGATCACTTTTGCACAGATTGTTTGTAATTATCTGCAATGACGATTCAAAAATTCTCTCCGATTGAGTATTCACAGATAAATTTTCTTTTTTCTCTCCTCTAATTTTTCTAAAGTGAAATGAAAACGTGAAGTGAAAATTTTTAGTAGACATTAGAATAAAATCAAGTGTCGGAATGAGAGATGGATTCTCCCCACCGTCTTTCCTATCGATTATTCTTTCTCTCTGTGTCTAGTCATTAATGATAATGGAGATATTATCGGAATTCCAATATTCGGAAAAAAATAATTCTCCTCTCCCACTATCGCACCAATATTTTTTATCATCACTCCCTCATAAAAAATAACTTCTTATCTCAATCAACTGAAAAGAGAGAAATGAGATAAAATGTAAGAATGCAGAATAATGGTTATTATTAATCGTTTCTCGATAGATTAATGATATTCAATGGAAAGAAAGAAGAATTCTCTGCATTCCAATATTTGCAAGGAAATATTCTTCTTTCAAATGATCAATTTTTTTCATTAGAAAAACTCATCTCAGACGATAAAAAAAGTGCAATAAAGAATTTTTGATAGACATTAAAAGAAAATTAAGTGGCCGAATGAGAAACAGAGATCTCGTCTCCTCTTAATCAATTCGAGAAATGGAATAAATTGTAAGAATTTTGAATAACAATGGTTCTCCTGATCGTTTTTTCATCGTTCATCCATGTTTATCGTTCCTACGATTCTCCTTATCATCTTTTCTGTCTGTGTCCTAATAATAATGGAAAAATTCTCTGCATTCTACTATTCAGAGCGAAGTATTTTCCTCTCTCCCACTATCGCAACAATATTTTCCCCCATCTTTAAACTCGTAGAAAAGACCTGCTCTCATTTCAATCAATTAGTTCTCGTTCCTTCCCAATAGGCGCAACATCCCAATATCCACATGCTTCTTCCCCTTACAAATTACCAACAATATTCTTTCTATTAGAAAAAAACGAGTCATCTTACCGTGATCGAAATGCTTCTCATAGTCAGCCTCACTCCACTGAGTCTCGTGTGTTGTCGTGGCATCGTGCTGTGGAGAACGTGGCAAAATACTGGCTGATCTGACAATGAGTGACGAGCAACGCAAAGACAACTCAAGTGCATCCAGCCAGCATTTTCCAGCTGCCTGGGATGGAGCGCGAAATATTAAATAGGATGTTGGTAGTGGTTGCACAACAGCCCCTAGAAATAGAACATTTATTTTGACGTATCCAAGTGAATTGTCTCCCAGTAATATCCTCTATTGATTTACCAATAGCCTCTTTCTCGGGACCTCTTGGTGCCCAAATTGATTGCTCGAGTGGATGAAACAGTTTGAAACAGAAGCCATCCTTCTTACTCGGTCGTTCGATCACTTGGCAGATGTTTAGGAGAACTGTTCCAACCCAGTGATTACTCTGGAATAGTTTACATTGGGAACAACATGGAGTGCATAAATCTTGGGCGAATGGGTCTGGGTAAATGGGTCATTTTACTCGGTGGAGCATAAAATATTTCCTCTGGGCTGAGGTACGTACTTTTATTTTGGGACTTTTGTAGAGTAATAGGAGTCCTGGCTTCAGTATGCACCACAGTTTCGTCCAACTTTTCAGGGTTCCACGTACTTTCAGCCAGTCACTCATTACAACTACCGTTGGATCCTTCAGCGAACTCAGGAGTTCGTTTGCAACGCGTTTCTTCTCAATTCGATAGTTCTTTCGTTGTGCTTTGTAGGATTCTTTACGGGTTAGTTTGCACGAGTCAGCCTGTTGAATGTTCATTATTGTTTTGAGAAATACTGGGGAAAAAGGCGGCGGAAAAGTACTTCAGAAATTGCGTTAAAACTGCGCTGTTTACGTTATTGTGATGTAACGCTACTGACTCGGAAAAATCAAAGGCTTCTGCGGTAATTTTTAGGGAGTTTTACGTAAAAATTACGAGTCAACACGTAAAGATTACGTTTCGATTCATAAGATTTCCAGAACTACAGGGGGCAAATTTATTTTTCGCCTACGATTTCTTCTGTTTACGTGAAAAGTCCCGAAAGAGTATTTCGCCTCATTTTTACGTTTTGTTATCCAATTTTTCCTGGTGTTGATGTCAATTTTTTGTGATTAATGACTTGTGATTTTTTGTGTCTTGAAAACATGGCAAAATTTCTAGAAGGGATTTCCGTTTTACCGAGAACTTATTTTTTCTGAATCTATAAAATAGTCTGTTATAGAAAAAAATTAAGAGAAAAAAACTGTTTTTTATCAATATCTTTGAGCCTGAACAACAGGAAGAAATATTTCTAAGAACATTTTTTCTGAATAATTCCTTTTGTCTTGCAAAAGTGATCATTACAACCAAAAATTTGCTATAATTTACATTTTGGGGCACTTCATTCCCTTTACTGATCTAGATTTGGTACCACGCATTCAAAATTATAAAGTTCAAATAGTTTATTCACCTTGTCCGATGCCGAATCCAATTTTAAATTACTTTCTCCCATCGCGGACAGCCCTAAAACATTATCAAATAATTGATAAAGGACTGAGAAGTCTCCAACCAGCTGAATTGAGTTGATACCTTACCAGTGGCATCTGAAGCTATAGAATGGCCTCAAAAAAAAGTATATATCCTTCTCATGAGAGTGCAGATAGTTAAAATCCCAGCGTAAAGTAAACGTGATGACAATATGATGCGTATACAGCACATTTTCATGATTCAATAAGCAATTGGAGGTAACGAAATTGATGTGAAATATGTAATCATTTGAAGCCATACTTTAAATGCCAATGGGTACAGTAAAAATGCCTCGTAGCGCAGCATTGTAACACCAACGAAAACATTGAAATAAATTTTTAACGGAAAAAAAATACCTGGAGAAAGCGGAGGAGCACCTGAGGCGAGATTAACGTTAGCGGTGAGTGATTCTGACGATGGTAGCTTGGACAATTGGGCTGGTTGTGCATGGACACTTCCCTGACGAGGTCGTCGATCGTCACCTGGTGCTACATTATTTTTTCGCATTTTTTTTATCACGATTTTACGATTCATCTTCCAACAACACTCTTAGCAACTACTGATTCGACACTGACATTCATGTGCTCATTGAGCACATGAATTATTTTATTAATACACTGTTAAATACACTGTTAAATATTTTTTATCGACATTTTTTATACACTTTTTGGTAATTTTGATCACATCTCAGTTCCACTGAAATTTCAAGGAATTTTGTCATTGAAAATTCATAATTTCATGGAAAAATCGTGGGAACTGCAAGTTTCAGCTTAATTATTCCAGAGAAATGAATGAAAAATCCTGAAAATTCCTTCTAAAATTCCTCGAATTCCAACAATTTCAAAGGAATTTCCTGAAAATTCAAGGGAACTTCCCAGTGAATATTCTTTTACACACGAAAAACGAAAAAAACCTAGCGAATTCGCTAGACAATTCTATCGGATTTCTATTGAACTTTCTATTAATTTTTGGCCGAGTCAATTGAAATGATGAACAGAAATTATGAATAGAAAAGAAAAATAGAGTGAAAAAAAAACTTAAAATTTGAGCCGAGGAAATTCTACAGAAAATATCTCAATGGAATTCTATTGAGTTTTCTATAAAATATTTTCTATTGAACACATCAATAGAATTGGCCAAAAACCAATAGAAATCCAACGGAATTGTCTACAATTTTCTCCTAAATTTCTTCGTCAACTTAAAATCCCGTTGACTTTTTCCCTCAAATCGAAATCACCGCCTCGTTCCGCCAAATTTCTTAACAGTGTAACAGCGTATCTTTGACGTTGTAAAAGTCTTACCTCTTTTACCAGTCAATTTAATCCATCTACCCATCACACAGACATTAAATCAATCCATAGCCCATGCGTGAAATCAAGAGGCCCAATTCGAAGTATGAAACAATTTTGAATAAATTATTCCAATTCGTTCAGTGGAATGTCGTGCGAGCATGCAATTACCAACGAAAAATTGCTCCTGCATAAAAAGCGAACTCAACTCTCGAATGAAGAAATGAAAAAAAAAGCAAACAGAATTGACCAGCAATTTCTCCGGAGAAATTCCCTGCTATTATTTATCCTCAAACAACCACCTTCCCATGGCTATCACAATACACTGAGGCAAAAAAACCACTGCAAGTGAGGATAATAAACAACTATAATGCAATGTTTCTAGCATCTAGGGTCAGTCGATATTGATTTCCCCGCATCATCAACACAACATGTAAAGTTTCTGCGCCAAGTCGATTCATATTAATGAACCTGTAACTAGGAGCTGCTACGTATCCAACAAGGCTGATAATTCTCCTCAATTATTATCAAGGATTAAGCCCCGCGTGGCATTGAAATGAATTACGTTATTTCGTTCGACTCATTTAAACTCATCTTCCATTGTAAATCCCAGGTGTAATGATGGAGGGGGGGGGGGGAACATGCAACAGCACCTGCATTTCATCCCACTAATTATCTTCCACTGTCTGAGTGCATGCAGACCTCAGAGTGTGTGCTATTATGATTGTAAAGATCATGTTAGCGACGCAGTTGAGTGAATTGTCGTGTCATTCAGAATTGCATCGAGTTTTTTTAACAAACTTTTTACGTTTTATTATTTATACTAGACCTCTGGTGGACTTTCAGCCGGGTTATTTCATTAAATCAATTTTGCTCGAATCATTCGAGCAGTTTTCAAAATATGAGCAAACATTTTTCTGATCTGAATGAAGGCTACGTTAATTAGAAATGAAATTATTGCTCAGATGAAAGGGATTTTTAATTAGCCAAGTGATCGTCAATCTCACTACCTAAATTAGTAACTTGGAGACAGTTCTATCAATTGTATTGATGGGCTTTTTGGATCCCACTGGGTCGACATAACACAAAAAATCCAAGGCTTAAATTTGAAATTTTGCTTCCATTCGGAACCGAAATTTCAAACGAAGTTTTATTTCCCAAAATTTTAATTCAGCACTCAAAGGACCTATTTCACTGACACTATCACCGATTCTCATCACTCAACGATCCATCAGATAAGAAAAACCCAAGAACCCAAGAACTATAAATACACGCATGAAAAAATTAAATATAAAACCTAACAAATTCGCTAGAAAATTCTATTGGAATTCTATAGGAATTTTATGGTGTTTCTATAGGATTTCTATCGGAATTCTATTTGTTTTTGCGCTCTTTCTATTCGATATTCAATAAGAAAAAGTCAATATGTTTCGAATTTCTGTTTGAATTTTTCCCTCAAATTTTTTCTATTAGAATTATTGGGCACAAATCTCAAGAGAAAAGTTTAGTCAGAAATTCAAAATCTATTGACTTTGTCTTATCGAATATCCAATAGACTCAGCGCAAATTCACTGCATTTTCTATTGAATTTTTTCATACGTGTAAATTCCCAGAAATGATCGCATGAACGGAGTAACTCACAATGGTACAAGAGTGTCAATCACAAAAGTGCGAGAAACTGTGTCAGAATGTGAAAAAACATGTGCAATGACAATCGTCATTGGAAAACAGTGTGAAAACTTACGATTACTGAGGGAACGACTGACGCCCGGTGGTGTCATCGTCTTGATGGGCTCGGTATTGTGGCCAGTAGAAGTAGCCTGCGACTCGGACGAGGGCCTCTGTCGCTCGCCAGGTACCATTATCGGTTGGGAGCTCATTTTCTAATCCATCAGCGTGGAAAAAATCAATCATTTTACCTCGAGAAAATGCCCCCATCAGCCCCAAAAAAGCCCCCCATTTTTCGGAGCAGAAAAGCGCGAAAAATCGCGAATAAAAAAATTGCCTCGAGCCCCCGTTTATGTTCGCAAGCAGTCGCGTAAAATCCGCCCCGATTACGCGGAAAAAGCCTGGGGACGTAGCCCTGGGCCGCAATGCGGTAGAACCTGTCAAAATACTCCGAAAAAGCACGCACCACCCGCGGCTGTAATTATTTTTCCAAAAACTCACCGGAGAATTTTCTCAACTTCTGGCAATCCTCGTCTCGTTCAATTGATCCCTCATTCACACGTAAACTGGGTTTAGTTGACACACAGACACATGGGAATTATTTTTTATCTTCAAAGGCAATTACGTTGACCCGAGTAAACTCAAGTGTCCAGTCTGCTGGTGGCTCATGTCGCACTGATGCTGGGGAAATGGAGAAAAATCCGGGGATAATGACTCCCTCCCCTCGGCCACTTCACCCCGCCCTCACAATTATTCTCGTATTTTTGAAAATACTCGTTAAACGGGGAATACACTTTATTCACGGGTTAATATTGACTTAAACACATGTTTTAATGATTCGTGTAGTGGTGTTGGTATGACGCACAATTGATCAGTGCTGAGGGAGCCCACGAATACGCCGGCTCCCCACTTTTACTTTGTCGGTCTGTCTCACTCGCTACTGCGTGGAGATGCGCGCATTATTCTGACACGGGGGGGCGTTGCAACTCGCGATGGCCGGCGTTGGCGCCACACGGCACAGGACGATGAAGAAATGGGAATTGTAGGCATCGATTGTGCGCAGATCGGGGAGGTTTCGGTTATTGTTTTCGTGGGAATAATGCGGGGAGGGGGACTCGAGTTATTGGTGGGTGATTGATTGGTTGATTGACGAGGTAAATGGGGGAGTTTTTTTATTTTATTTTATGGAGCCACGCATGACAAAATTCAATGGAAAGTTCGAATTCTACTGATGTAATTGAAAATTTCTAGAATTTCCGAGCGAATTCACTAGGTTTTTCTATAATTTTTTGTACGAAGATGTAATCGGAGAAACCGTAGATGAAATTCAACGTTTTTTCCACTTTGTTTTGCTTTTTTGTTGAGTTTAAAAATAAAAAAAATTATCTTGTAAAAATTGAACCGCGAAATTTACTATAGAAAAAATCAAAATAATTGAATTTCCCTGTTGTACAGGGAAATTTAATTCTATTGAATTAATTGATAGAAAAATTGATGAAAGGTCGAATTCTATTGATATAATTTCTATTTCTAGAATTTCCGAGCGAATTCACTAGGTTTTTCTATAATTTTTTTACGAACATGTAATGGAAGAAACCGTAGATGAAATTTAAAGTTTTTTCCACTTTGTTTTGTTTTTTTGTTTGGTTTAAGAACCAAAAAAATTATCTTGTAAAAATTGAGCCGAGAAATGCTGCGGAATTTTTTAATAGATCCGGCCAAAACAATAGAATTTTTGAATTCCATTGATATTGATATTTCTATTTCTAGAATTTCCCAGCGAAAGCACTAGGTTTCCTACGAAATTTTTTCGTAAATATAATGAGAGAAGCCGTAGATGGAATTAAAAGTAAAGGCTCTTCAAACTTCAAGAAAACTTAATCCCATATTGAGGATTACACAACAACACAAACTCTTTATTTATGTTTGAAATGTTTCCGCATGAGGAAATGGGAGTAGCGGATGGGGGATTTGAATTACAAATTTATGGAGTGAAACAGGTCGGTGTTGCAAGAGCCCATTGACGTTTTATTGTNTCGAATTCTATTGATATAATTTCTATTTCTAGAATTTCCGAGCGAATTCACTAGGTTTTTCTATAATTTTTTTACGAAGATGTAATGGGAGAAACCGTAGATGAAATTCAACATTTTTTCCACTTTGTTTTGCTTTTTTGTTGAGTTTAAAAATAAAAAAAATTATCTTGTAAAAATTGAACCGCGAAATTTACTATAGAAAAAATCCAAATAATTGAATTTCCCTGTTGTACAGGGAAATTTAATTCTATTGAATTAATTGATAGAAAAATTGATGAAAGGTCGAATTCTATTGATATAATTTCTATTTCTAGAATTTCCGAGCGAATTCACTAGGTTTTTCTATAATTTTTTTACGAAGATGTAATGGTAAAGTTTTTTCCACTTTGATTTGTTTTTTTGTTTGGTTTAAGAACCAAAAAAATTATCTTGTAAAAATTGAACCGCGAAATTTACTATAGAAAAAATCCAAATTATTGAATTTCCCAGTTGTACACGGAAATTTAATTCTATTGAATCAATTGATAAAAAAATTGATGAAAAGTTCGAATTCTATTGATATAATTTCTATTTCTAGAATTTCCGAGCGAATTCACGAGGTTTTTCTATAATTTTTTTTACGAAGATGTAATGGGAGAAACCGTAGATGAAATTTAAAGTTTTTTCCACTTTGTTTTGTTTTTTTGTTTGGTTTAAGAACCAAAAAAATTATCTTGTAAAAATTGAGCCGAGAAATGCTGCGGAATTTTTTAATAGATCCGGCCAAAACAATAGAATTTTTGAATTCCATTGATATTGATATTTCTATTTCTAGAATTTCCCAGCGAAAGCACTAGGTTTCCTACGAAATTTTTTCGTAAATATAATGAGAGAAGCCGTAGATGGAATTAAAAGTAAAGGCTCTTCAAACTTCAAGAAAACTTAATCCCATATTGAGGATTACACAACAACACAAACTCTTTATTTATGTTTGAAATGTTTCCGCATGAGGAAATGGGAGTAGCGGATGGGGGATTTGAATTACAAATTTATGGAGTGAAACAGGTCGGTGTTGCAAGAGCCCATTGACGTTTTATTGTACAAAATTATTGGGGCAGATGGATTTAAATTCATTCTGACGTATGGAGATCGCGTGGGGATCGATTTCTACTGGCAGGTGGACAGGGCGGTCTCTCGGTTATCAGCTGGAAGTAACTTCCGGGGAATTTCAATTTTGAAATGGTGAGGGTTTTTTGGGGTTTCGTTTTGAGGGACTTCAGCAGGAATCAGAATCGCTGTCGTCCTCGCTGGATTCTGGACAGTGGGTGGAGGGGGTTCTTCTCCTGCCGACCAGTCTTGTGGATCTCAGGCGACGTCCGGGTCTTTTCTGGAGGAAAATTGATCATACAGGTGAGCATTTTTTTCTGAATTTGGTTTTTTCCCCGCGAAACGTTTGGGTTTCCAATTAATTGAAACCAGGAAAATTTAACCAAATACATTCTTCAATCTTCATCCAGCAAACGTTGGTACTGAATATTTATGTTTTCCCTGAAAATTCAAGTAAATTAAGGAAATTTCGTCTTCCTACAGCTCAGAAGTTCCGAATTTCACTGAATCTCAAGAAGTCTTTTTTGTCTCGAGCAGCCAATTTTGTCCGATAATTAAGACAGAAACAGTCACTACAATCTTTTAAAAACCACTTTTTATGGCCCGTTAAAACCTGCGGAAGATAGCGAAATTTTTATGGAGAATTTAATAGATCTCACCTTGTTCTACAAAGCAAAAGTCTTTACAAAGTTTTCGCTATCACCTTTACACCCACAGATATTCACTAAAAATTCCCCCTGAAGCGGATTTTAATCTTCCGTTCGACCCACTAGTATAGTACATTTCGATACGAGTGCGTAAAAGAATTTTCATCTATCTAAAATTATTATCAACTTTAGCATTAAATAAATAGGCTGGATCGGTTGGAGTTCGCAAGTGGTATCGTCAACCAAAATCTCTTAAATCAATTGTAATGATTTTCCATGAATTTACTCTGTAATATCTCTCCCAGAAGGACGAAAAATCCGTCTTATAGTTGTAAGCCTCCTGTCTAAAAGTCGAACTGCAATACGCATCCTTCCTACATCTCGACAGCATGCCAATTGAGACAGCATGATCGAGCTTGTCCTTCAACTCAATCTTCAGTTCCTCTGGATTCTGCTCAATTGGATACAATCGTCTCAAATGATCGGCTATCATTTTCGAACTGACCAACGCCCGCCTCTTCTCCAGCTCCTCCACCGCGAACCGCACCATTTCAAGGGTTATTGAGCACGACCCCCTGGAATGTGGACCTAGAAACCCTCGAGTCCCCAAATTTCTTCACGGGATTATCGATAACAAACGGAAACGGGATTACCTGCCATCCTCAGCGACACTGCAGCTCCAACATTTTTTTTTATCTTTAGTGTTTTTAACCTGAGGTATCTCGGGACTTTAGATAAATTTTTGTCATAAAGTGTCAAAAGGTTCGGGGCATATCGGAGCTGTGCGAAGATAGTTGAGAATCGTGACGCTATGAGTCATGGATAAATCGGCGAAGGGGCATTTACCGCGGAATAGGGGGGAATTCGGGGAATATGATCTCCGGAAATTCCACTCGTGGTAAGACTAGACATGTCGCAAAATGGGAAATAAACTGGGAATTTCTTCAGGATATTCAGTTGAAAGAAATTGATAAATTATTTTCTCAAGCATTAATTCTTCATTTTTTTGTCTCTTGAAATACTCACGATCGTCTTACATGATAAACGATATATTTTTGAAGTTCTAAAATGACTCTCATGAGACTCCCATATGATAAAACAATATTAGTCCAAGGTTGGCGCAATGTTGGCGCAAGATTGGCGCAAGGTCGGCACAAGGTTGGCCCAATGTTGGCGCGTGTTTTTTTTGCTATAATTCGAAAACCGATAATGGAATCGAGACCATGTTCGAACTCGATCTGGATAACATGAATGACGAATATTTCTAGCGCAAATTCAATCAATTTGGACAATTATTTTTTTAGTTATCGCGGCAAGACTGAATCGGGCACACACACATACATACGGATGCTCTAAAAACATCATATTCTGATTCGGGAACCCAGAATTAGTCATTTTAATACGAAAAACTAGAAAATTTAATTTTGAGCAATCCAATGGTTCCGTTCGGAAGCAAAAATGCACGAACAACGTTGGAATGGCTTTTTTAAGTGACTCTGAAAAATCCCACATACACATGCGGCCGATACAGACCCCACGCACTGTCTGCAGGCCCGTGTGTGGCACGTGGGTGAGGCCTCAAGATACCAAGCAGCGCGACAAATCGCAGACTGCCGTCTAAAGTGTACTGGAGGAGGCAATGGGATACACCAGTCTCAGCGGCGCCTTCTTCCTCAGTTTTTATCCGCTCGCTGCGTAGTCTGTAACAGAACGGGCTCACTCCACTCATTCCTCAACAGTTGTATTGTGAAAGTTCAAGTGAATGTGAACGTAAATACTCTTCGTTTATGGGATTTTCTTCCATTTGTTGATTAGATTCGATGTAAACTGGGAAAATATTGCGGATTTTTCAGTCATCAGGTAAACGATTAAATTGCATTCACTGTTGCTTAATTCATTCGACCTTTTTGTTTGTTTGGGGGTAAAAGCGCATGGGTAATTAGAGAGACAAAGGAATTGTCCAGACGATTATTCAGAAATCGTGACTCAAGCGTTCGCGCGCGCCGCCAAGTACATCTAATACGTGATTTCAAATGTCGATGGCAATTCCACTTGTGTACATATTATTATAGGCTGTGACTCATGCTTCTGAAGCTTCTCGTTTACTCGAAATTGATACGTTAATCCGGGAATTATTACGTCGGGCGATCTTGAATTGAATGTTTTGTCGTAATTATCACTTATGATAGCGCGATTTTATTGTTGGCACGCGGCTTCCGGGGTTTCTTTCGGATTACCGATGAAATGCGTGACGCGGAGGAAATTGTTTTTTCTTTAAACGCGAAACAGCCTCGAGTTGTATGAAAACAGGGGATTGAGCAAGTGGGGAAAGTCTGAGGGACGTGTTGGCACATATGGGTATTGGGGAAAACAATTCTAAAGTGCTGGGGAAAAATTGAAATTTTATGGACGGTTGCGGAGGTATTTTCAAGAGAGCGACATTGAATCCGATTTAAGGGCGAGAAAAAACGTGAAATTCCAATCTCTTGAGAACAGGAAGATGAGAATTCCTCAACTCATTTCAAATTTTTAATGGAAATATGAATATTTAGTTGCAAATTTTGCTGAATGAACACTTAAGAATATATTTACTCAAATTTTTCGGATTGCTGTTCATTTTCATGAAACAACTGAATTAAAATGTTTTTTTTATGAAATCGGTAATTTTTAATGACGAAATTCCTTGAAATTTCATGGACAGGTGACTAGTGATTCTCAGGAGAGTGACATTGGTTTCAATTTAGGGGAAAAATAATGATTTTTTTTTTAAATTTAGTATAAATCTAATGAAATTCCAAACTTTTGAGTCACTGGAGGACAAAAATTCCTGAACTCACTTGAATTGTCAATGAAAACATGAATATTCAGTAAAAAATATTGCTGAATCGAGAATATATTTCCTCAAATTATTCGAATTTCTATTAACTTCCATGGAATAATCAATTTTTTTATAAATCGTGAATTCTCAATGACGAAATTCCTCGAAATTTCCGTGTAACTGTAACGTAATAAAATTTCACGTAAAAATTTTCACCGGTGAATTGGTTTTCGATGAATGACAGGCGACTTTCAGTCTGGAATAGGAGTTTCTTCTTAAGGGTATTTTTGGAGTTCCCCGCTGAGTTCCTGAACAGTCGAGTTTTTTATTTTTACTCTTAATGGACTTGTCGGGGCTGAGAATTGATTCGTAATTGGGACGGTATTTTTAGAGGCTTCTAGAGGAGAAAGAATGTGTCATGAGGGTTTTTTATCTCTGGTTTTAGTCAATCCGTTGAGAATAATTGAGGAAGTGGTACGTCGGGATGATGCATCTGGGTATTTAGAGAATTATCGCGGCGATGGTTCTGAGATGATCGAGAGACCTCTCGCGGGGTCATTTCACTGGGTACGAGGATGGTTTCGATTGTATCTTCTCTGGAAATGAATAATGCATAAGATTCGGTGATTTCTAGAGGAATCTGATAGTCTCGTGGAATTTTCTCGTAGAATTTTCGATGGACATTTCCATTCCTGTGCAATAAAAAATAATCGTGGATTCTCAATAGAAGTTTTCATCGGTTTCCACGAATTTCTCTTTAGTAATACTACACACGGAGAGAAATATTCAGTGAAAATTACGGAACTCACAATTCGTTCACCGATTACGAAATCAATTCAGAAAATTTAAGTGACGGTATTGCAATGTTTCACAGGAGATCAGGTAAAAATTACGGAACGCTAAAATTCCATGACAGTTCCGTAAAATTTCCTACAACCTTTTGCTCCGAAATTACGGAAAAGACACGTCATTTTTATTGGATAAGAACACATTAGTTCCAATCCACTTGAATAATAACATGATAAATCATATAAAATCTCTGAAATTGACAGGCGCGGGGTGCATCTTCGATCTCGTTGTTCAGATAGTCAATGTCTTTTCAGAAAAAAAATGCAGAAAAGTGAATTCCACGTGAGCCTGACACCGGCCGAACTGGGCCGCTGCAAGACCCCGTCAGCAATGTCCAATAACCACTCTCACATTCCAGTAGCAAAGTCCTTTGGTTCACCCAACAAGTCCGCCCTTCATTCCATGGTAAAACGCGGAAATTCGACAAATGCATTTAGCGATAAGAGTGGAGCGAGCTCAGCGGGCAAAGCACCGTCGGTTGCTGCTTACAAGGCGTCCTTTGAGCGGTTGGATGCCGCTGCCGCTCTGAGCAACTCTCAGAAGCGCATCCTCAACGACAATCACAGCTCAGTCTCCAGTAATTCGTTGAAAATGCTGGAGACACTCAAGAGACCGGCCCATGTCCTTAATAGTTCAAGGTTCAATGGGAGCAACAGTAATGTCAATAATAACAATGGGGTTGCGTTGGGTGAGGTGAATTGGAAATTTAAGTTCGAGGACTCGGAGAAGAAGAGGAAAATGCTGATTCAAAAATCTGACGCTGGTAATTCAGTGATTTAGCCGAGTTTACCCCGCAAATGCTCAAAATGTTAAGAATAGTCCAGGGCCTCCAATTTTTGAGCAATTTTTGAACAATTACGAATTAGTTTTTTGAAATTCAACGCCTACGCAGCTAATTTCGTTATTATTTTAATAAAAAATTGCACAATTCATGTGAAATAGTCCGAAAAGTATCTCTGAAAGAATCGAGAATATATTTTTAGTATTTTAAGGATAATTTTTCTCCCTATTTTACATGAATGACGCAAATTTTCATTTTTTCTGCACTTGCATTAATTTTGTTGCACTAATCATTCGTTTTTAGACATATAATCGATCTTCAATGCATGAGAAATCTCACTCCAATATCCCACGATTTTTAAACCTCATAGTAGTCTCCCCTTAGCAGAAATCCAACGGAATTTTCTATCGAATTCACCAGATTTTCCTTCGAAATGTTTTGCGTGAACATAATTAAAAAAACCTTCCCCCTAATGAGATTAATTTCCCCAGTAACGAAGGAGAACACCGATCTTGATAAGAAATACCGTCAACTCCTTCGCGACAACAGCGTCCTTCAGACTCAACTGCGCACCAAAGACGAAGAACTCCATAAACTGCGATCAGGTAAATGCATAACTAATTAATCAATCACTCAAGCGATTGAATATTTCATGGTAACACCGTGATATCCTCAGTGTCGGAGAGACTCTGCAAGGAGTACGAGCAGCAAAAGCGTCAGTATGACGTGGAGACGGGGGCCCTCCACAAAGCGATGCAGCAGGCGTCACAAGTAGGCACAAATAATCAGATTACCATAAAACCGTGAGCTATATTCGTACGAATTAATCGAGCATTGCCTTAAATAACAGTGGTACAAGCAAAATCGCCAGCTCAAGAGGCAGTCCCTGGTGCTCACCCAGAGAATCCTTGAGTCACGGCCCGATGCACTCGCCGATGATTTGTGCCTGTCTGATGAGATCGATGCTAATGAGATTGACGATGCCGAAGAGCTGCGGCAGACTATCACCGGTTAGTGTCCCACCGACATCCGTCAGTCACTTAATCCACGGATTTTGTTATTCAAATGTCTTCGTAAAGTTGGATGAGTCAATTTTCCGGGAATTTCAGGTTTATTGTTCGGGGAAAATAATGAAAAATAACAATCGGTTGGGCGAATCGATACAATACTTAATTTGATTTTGTGAATTCGATTTTGTGAGTTTTTGCGAAATGTTATTTAATTTTTATTGAAATTCTAGCAATTTTTTCAGTACTTTTTATCAGTAACTTTTCGTAACTGGCTCTCCCCCTGGGCCTTGCTCTGGACTTTGGATTTCCAATTCAATTAATTAATTAACAAAATCTCCCGTCAAAGTTTCTCAATAATTTTCCGTTCTACTGAATGGAAAATTGTTATTCCCATCAGTACTCCCAAGAAAAAAAAGTTAATGAACAAAAATTAATGAAAAAAAGATGAAAAAATTTGTTTGCTTGAATCGCGTCAAATATTCGTTTTTTGACTGTTTCATTTTTCCCACTCTCCCCTACAATGACTGCCGAATAATGCAATAAAATCTTCAACAGAATGAGTTCCCCAACAATGTTCGAAACCTTCGCTAAATGCATTATACTGTTTCATCCCCCAAAGCCCTCCCCCTAATCCTGGAAAATGTTTTCAGAGCTGAGTGCTGAAGTAGCTCGCCTGCAAACAGAATTGAATTCCGCGAGACTCCAAGAGTTCGAGGCCCAAGAGCAAGCAGCTTTATCCAACGCTCGACTCGAGGAAGAAAGAGAAATGAGGGATAAGAGTGAAGAGGTGATAAAACAACTGACTATTCACAAAGAGAACATGGAGAGGGTCTCGAGAATGGTGGCTGATGAAGTGCAGGCTTTGAAAGCTCAGTGCGACCGAGAGAGAGAGCACGCCAAGATGATTAAAATTGAGGCTGACAGAGTGCAGAAGGAGAGAAATGTTTTGGCACATCAGAGTGCACTGCTGATGGCAGAAGTCAGTGATGACTCCAATGGTCGTTTACTAGCTGTACTCCAGGAGGTGGAGACACTGAAGAGAGACCTCGAGGAGGAGAAACAGGCGCACTTGGAGCAGATGCAACTGCTGCAGGATAAACTCGAGGAGAAGGAGTCGAATGTGGAGTTTGAGATTGTCGAGGAGAAGCTCAAGCTCTCGGAAGTCGAGATGAATATGGTGCTGGAGAGGGCTGAGAGGGCTGAGAGGGAGGTGGAGAGGCTCGAGGGTGTGGTGGCTAAATTGGAGGAGATGCTCGGTGAGATGCAGAGCAAGAGTGCACCACCACCACCTCCAGCACCACCGCTTCCTCCACCACCGCCTCCGTTGCCTCCTGCTCATAATGCTTCGAGGGCTACGGTGAAGCTGCTGACGAGGGAAAGGGCCGAGGGAGGCAGCAATCGAAATTCGGCGATTTGCGATATGGAGAGCCTCTTGGGAATTGCTAAGAAACCTGCTGCTGTACCACAACAACCTGGTAATTATTCTCATGGTATTTGGGAATTGAGGAATTTTTAGAACAGTGAAATTACATTCGATTTAATTAATTTAATGTAATTAACAAACTGTGAGGAATTTATGGGATCTGTGATTTTTTCATTACGAGATTCTCGGAAATTTCAGTAGAATTTCTTGGCTAAAATTTTCCGAGTTTTTTTTGTTTAATTTTGTCGATGAAAAGAAAAGATAAGTGGAATGAAAAAACTTGGATAATTTGAGTCGAGGAAATTGTATAGAAAAATCGAATTCTGCTGACCAAAAGTTACCATTCTTCATTTTAAAAATCATGTTTTTGAAATCGTAGCAATGTTTAAGAAAAGATATTTTTTTACAAAATGTAATTTGAATCGCCTTTTGATGATTCAAAATCCCCAAAAGTTCAATGTGCTCCAGCCAAAACTGCAAGAACTCCCTGAATATCCTCAACACCTAAAAAATTGACCATCGATTTAATTAATTTAACGTAATTAACAAACTGTGAGGAATTTATGGGATCTGTGATTTTTTCATTATGAGATTCTCGGAAATTTCAGTAGAATTTCTTGGCTAAAATTTTCCGAGTTTTTCTTGTTTGATTTTGTCGATGAAAAGAAAAGATAAATGGAATGAAAAAACTTGGATAATTTGAGTCGAGGAAATTGTATAGAAAAATCGAATTCTGCTGACCAAAAGTTACCATTCTTCATTTTAAAAATCATGTTTTTGAAATCGTAGCAATGTTTAAGAAAAGATATTTTTTTACAAAATGTAATTTGAATCGCCTTTTGATGATTCAAAATCCCCAAAAGTTCAATGTGCTCCAGCCAAAACTGCAAGAACTCCCTGAATATCCTCAACACCTAAAAAATTGACCATCGATTTAATTAATTTAACGTAATTAACAAACTGTGAGGAATTTATGGGATCTGTGATTTTTTCATTACGAGATTCTCGGAAATTTCAGTAGAATTTCTTGGCTAAAATTTTCCGAGTTTTTTTTGTTTAATTTTGTCGATGAAAAGAAAAGATAAGTGGAACGAAAAAACTTGGATAATTTGAGTCGAGAAAATTGTATAGAAAAGTCGAATTCTGCTGACCAAAAGTTACCATTCTTCATTTTAAAAATCATGTTTTTAAAATCCTAGCAATGTTTAAGAAAAGATAGTTTTTTACAAAATGTAATTTGAATCGCCTTTTGATGATTCAAAATCCCCAAAAGTTCAATGTGCTCCAGCCAAAACTGCAAGAACTCCCTGAATATCCTCAACACCTAAAAAATTGACCATCGATTTAATTAATTTAACGTAATTAACAAACTGTGAGGAATTTATGGGATCTGTGATTTTTTCATTATGAGATTCTCGGAAATTTCAGTAGAATTTCTTGGCTAAAATTTTCCGAGTTTTTCTTGTTTGATTTTGTCGATGAAAAGAAAAGATAAATGGAATGAAAAAACTTGGATAATTTGAGTCGAGGAAATTGTATAGAAAAATCGAATTCTGCTGACCAAAAGTTACCATTCTTCATTTTTAAAATCATGTTTTTGAAATCGTAGCAATGTTTAAGAAAAGATATTTTTTTACAAAATGTAATTTGAATCGCCTTTTGATGATTCAAAATCCCCAAAAGTTCAATGTGCTCCAGCCAAAACTGCAAGAACTCCCTGAATATCCTCAACGCCTAAAAAATTGACCATCGATTTAATTAATTTAACGTAATTAACAAACTGTGAGGAATTTATGGGATCTGTGATTTTTTCATTATGAGATTCTCGGAAATTTCAGTAGAATTTCTTGGCTAAAATTTTCCGAGTTTTTCTTGTTTGATTTTGTCGATGAAAAGAAAAGATAAATGGAATGAAAAAACTTGGATAATTTGAGTCGAGGAAATTGTATAGAAAAATCGAATTCTGCTGACCAAAAGTTACCATTCTTCATTTTTAAAATCATGTTTTTGAAATCGTAGCAATGTTTAAGAAAAGATATTTTTTTACAAAATGTAATTTGAATCGCCTTTTGATGATTCAAAATCCCCAAAAGTTCAATGTGCTCCAGCCAAAACTGCAAGAACTCCCTGAATATCCTCAACGCCTAAAAAATTGACCACTAAATCATCTCATTCCAGCCATAGACGACATAATAAATCAGATAAAAGGAGGGAAATTCACGCTCAAACAAACAGACGTAAGTATCCACATTTTTCTCGTAAATTCATAAAAATTTCGTTTATTTCAAGTCCATTAATAACCCTGCAGAAACAACGGGACGAGGAGAGACGACGAAAACGTGAGATGGAGAGTGCCCCAGCAGCTGTGTCCGAGATGCTGAACATCCTGGGTACAATGAGACGACGAGCAAAGCCAGTCAGACAGTCTCTCACCTATCCCGATGTTTCCACATGATTTTCACCCACAATTGCCTCACTACTATCATGAAAAGTTAATTTCACAAGTATTACAAAATGCTAAAAAATATCTATATATACTTATACATATGTACAAAAGAACGAAAAATAAGCATTCGTTTTGTTTTCAGCGTCGAAAATGTATCGGTAAATATTTTTGATTAAATGATTCTTTTTCAGTTTTTTTAAAATTCTTCAATGGGCCAATTCTTTCTTTATTTTCTCGATGATTGAGGGCAATTTAGTGGCTTCAAAGAGCATGACTCGCCTGTGGGGCACCATCTCCTCGTCGTCGTCTGCCCAGGCACTCGTGTCAGAGTCTTTATCAACGGAAAATTCAAAACTACACATTGCGTCCTCAGCGAATATCTCCTCCTCTGGATTACTCCAGATTAATTCAGGCTCCTCCACTCCCCTCTTCTTCTTCTTTCCAGGGGTATTCTTTGGCTTGTAGAGCTTTGAGATTAAAACGTAGTACTGAAAGTCGTAGGGCATTTTCTTATTGACAGCTCGTTTCATGTCGGCTATCAAGTTCTCGAGTAGGGGGACTGCTATGTCTGCGGGAATGTTGACGAATCTCTCGTTTATTATGAGACCGAGGGCCGCTGAGTCATTCTCCAGGATGCTCTTTATCAGGGCATTTGTGGTGTCCGAGGCGTAGTCGCTTGAGTAATCAGCCAGAACTTTTCGAAGTTGTTTTATGCAGTCTTGGTTCTGCACGAAAGAGATTTTTTTTATTATCTTTTTCATAATTCGTTATCATTTTGCGAGGGGATTGGGGAGTTTTTTGAGCAGACATTGTTTTATTCTTGGATATTATTTGAAGATGAGAAGAAGAGCTGCAAGAGAATTATAGTAGAATTTTCGTTATCAGGGCTCAAGGTCAATTTCAAGTTGAAAAATTATTATATTGGGTTGACAGAATCTTCTCTTCACTTGATTGATGACGAATTTATGGGGCAGGGTCAGTGTTAGTTATAGCCAGGGTTAATTTAAAATTTAAGGATGTTCAGCTGTTTTCAGCAAATCTTATTTTTTCATAACTTCATCTCTCAGTTGAAAAAAAATTTTTTTTTTAATACTTGCGATTTTGGATAAACATCCTTGAGAAAGTAATACTGAGTGGATTATTCAGGCCAACAATATTAGATGTCGACAATATTAAAAAGGATTACCTACTGATATTCTTCAAAGTTTAACTATATTTATCGAAATTTAATATATTATAAAATTTGATAACTAAATTTTCCGATTAATGGTGAATAAAATATCTGATGATACTGAACTAAATTTTCGATTATCCAAATAATCCTCAATCTTCGGTTAATATTTCAAAATTTGAATGTACAAATTGATGGTGAATTTAATATTAAAATTTTTTCAAGATTTATGTTAAAATTGACAACATCATAATTTAACGGTAATTATAATTGATGAATATGGCTATCGCCGGGATTATTTACGTTCCCCAAAAATAAATAGTATTCACTTGCCCTCATCTCCCCTAATTCCTTTGCATCCGTGAACTCAACATATTTTTAAATGGTGTTTATATTTACCTGTCCCTGAGAGATATTGATAATCGTCGTAATTCCAAAGACATCATTAATGTCATTCTCCTCGTCATCCTCATCCTCCGCATCGTCGTCCCCGCCCTGCTTCACCACAGAGCCCACATAGTTGCGTTCGATGATGAAATTAGCGAGCTCCGAGGTCTCCACCTTGGCCTTGAGAAACAGCTGCTGAAGGAGCAGTTTGATCCCGTTGAAATCCGGATCCTCGGGAATCCGGCCCACAAAGTCCACCATGATCTGGGTCCCCTGGACATACCCATCAGACTCGTTATTTCGTTACTCGATTCAGCAGGGAGGGGACCGCGTGGAGCGGACACTTTGAGGTTAGGAATAATCCGGAGGCGAAGGACAGGGGTTTCAGGAATTGCTGGGGAATCCTACCTGCTCGTCGTTGGTGTCCATCTCGTTGTCGTCACTGCTGTCATTACTGCTGGTCATCTCCTCATTTTCTTTCGACTCCTCATCGATCTCACGTTTCTTAGCCGGCGCTGACATTGTCACGAGCACACTTTCACGTCTGATCACGTCCGCCGTATCTACTGAATACTGGGTGAGTCAACAGCAGTAACTGTCATTCGAAACAGAAATTTCCATTATTAAAAAGAAATTGGGAATGGGGAAGCACTTGAACGTAAATTCGGATTTATTAAGAGATAATTTCTCTCGATGGGAGAAATGAGATTGAAAATCAATTTGGATTTTCTTGAGGGATTTAAGGTGAACTTATGATTTCCGGGGAGAAAATGCGCGCGCGCTGGTTTGATTGTGGGAGAACGAGGGTAAAAATCCTGATACACTGCTAGAAATTTTCCGAAATTTCATGGAAAATGTGGCTGTAGTTTTTATGAGAGTGACATTGAATCCGATTTAGGGGAAAATGGGTATGAGATTTTACATTTTGTGAATGTTTTTATTTGAAAAATCAAGGATTTTACTGATTTTCTGATCATTCGAACAGAAAATTAATGGAATATTTGATTTTTCAATGATAATATTTCCTGAAATTTCGGTGAAAATCAAACATGATAAAAATTTTTTTTTAATTAAAAATTGAAATTAAAAATCAATTTAATTAATTTTTATCTAATTTTTAATTTTAATTCAAAATTAAAAGTTAAAAATTTTTGGGTTTTGCCACGGAAAATTCACACGAAAATTTTCAACAGCGTAACGGGAAAAAGCATTGCAAGTGTATATTTTTACAGACTTAACTGTCACTAAAACAAAAATTTTACTATTAAAAAAATTAAGAATGGAAAACGCCGGAACATCAAATGATGTTCATAAAAAAAATTTCCTCTCATATAAATAACAAAAAAAAAAATCCGAGTTTTCCGGAAGTATTGAAGAAGAATGAGTGAGTTCCGCAGAGAAAATGCGCGTGCGCCAGTTTGATTGCGGGGGAGCGAGTAAAAAATCCTGATAACATGACAAATCAGTACAAAATACTACTTCCGGCGTGTAACCGCAAGTCTTCTGTAAGTACCGAATAGCAATTACAATAGAAGGGCTGAAAAACTAAAAAAATCGATCACATGAAATTATACAGAGAGGTTTTCCGTTCTTAATTTCTTGGTAATGAAAATTTTTGTTTTGACTGACAGTCACTTCTGTAAAAATATACATCAGCAATGGTTTTCCCGTTATGCTGTTGAAAATTTTCGCCGGGTTTTCCGTGGCAAATCTCGGAAATTTTTATCACGTTTAGTTTTCACCGAAATGTCAGGTAGACGGCAGAAATAACTGCGCGTCTGATCACGTCTACCGTATCTACTGAGTGGGTCCCAAAAATTTTCATTATTAAAACCTACTAAATAATGAAAACCACCGGACCATAAAATTACATCTATAAAAAACATTATTTCCCCCCCCCCCCCCCC